CAACAAAGGTGTACCATAGTTGCAACTTCAGAATTCTATTACCGTTACTTATCCTTGAATTTGACTCTTGTATAAAATTGTACGTTAAGGCACTCAGATTCCTCCATTTAAAAATCGAACCTAAAGTATACCACTTTCCCTAATGTACCATATAAGCCTACCCCATCGTACCCAATTCCAAATAAGTGGCATACCACGCTCCCGTTCCCATTCCGTGAACAGGAACAAAACAGGTTCCATGCAACTATTTGTCATATAACCAAACAATATGCCAGGTATAATGAACTCCAGAAGCAAAACATTACATAGTAATGTGACTATGTGAGTAAGAATCTAGCCTTTAGTTTGTATCATCTGCTTGTATTCAGTACTAAATAAAATTTATCTAAATAATATCATGACAATGTAAGCTAAAAAATTTACCTCGGTTGATTCACAACAGAATCCCGCATCGAATCCCCCTTACTTCTCATTCATTGAACACTAGCACTCCCTCCTAAGCGAAACCTCCATCTGATCCATCCTCCTAGCAAGATCATGCTTCCCGCAATGCTTCAACCCCTCCACCACCATATCAAAACTCTGCCCCCTCGGCACCATACCCACCTCCGTCATCTCCACCAAATAATTCGCCGCCTCCACATACTTCCCTCCCCTCACACACATCTTCACCATCATAGTATACACCGGCCTATTCGGTGGGTGCCCCTTGACCTGCATGTCCCCAAAAAAACTAAACGCATCCGCAAATCTCCCCGCCTTACACAACCCCTTGATGATCGCCGCATACAAGCTCGGAAACGGCCTATGCCCCTCCTCCATCGCACAATACAACAACCTAAAAGCCTCATCGATCTTACCCGCCCTCGAAACCGCCGGGATCATAACCTTGTAAGTCGAAATATCCGGACAAAGCCCCAACTCCCCCGCCTCCTTCAACATCTCCACGCAAAAATCAATCTCCCCGGACTTGCACAAAGCCTCAAGCAACGAGTTAAACGTATCCACATCCGGCAAGAACCCCTCCTTGCTCATCCTCCTCACCATCTTCTTCGCCGTCTCCAGATAACCGGCATTAACAAGCCCGTCATGAGAAGTTCCCGCGCCCCGAACAGCGGGCCGGAAGCCCTTCCGGTCATCTCCTCAAGAAAGCCCTGGCGCCTCGCGCAGGCTCCGCGGCGCACCAGGCGGTATGACGAGGATGGAGAAGGTCATCCCTGTCCGCGGGGACGGCCCTTTGCGCGCCTGCGGCAGGGACGAGGTGTAGGCGCGTGGGAGGTTGCGGACGTGGCACAGTAGGTTCCGCGAGCAGTTAGGGATTGTAGCCTCGTGGCTGGGGGCAGCACAAGTGGGGCATCGGTTTTGTAAAGACCTGGACGGCGAGGTCGGGGAGGGAGGCGGAGGCGTAGGAGGAGAGACGGAGGAGAAGGTGGAGGGGGAGGGGGAGGAGAGGAGGCAGTCTGGGGAGGAGGACCAGCAATGGAGGGGAAGTGGTCTTGCAGCGCGGCCGGGAGGCGGCGTGCCGGTGGGGGCGGGAGAGGGTGAGGAGGAGGGAGTGAACTCGGAGGAGGTCGGGGAGTAGTGTGAGCGGGCCCAAGGAAGAAGAAGCGGCAGGGAGGGATGGGGTGGGAGGGAGGTGGAGAGAGGGAGCGGAGCGACGAGGGAGGGGAGATGGGGAAAGGGGAGGAGTTAGGTTTTATGCGGTTGAGGGTGGCTGAGTAGTTGGTCGGTTTTCACGATGGCCGGAGATGTGGTTGATGATCGCGAAGTAGGTCGTTGTGTTTTTGGTGGTGTGGTGGTTGCAGGTGGCGAGATGGCGGCGGGGGAGGAGGAGGCGGTAGGAGAGGGGGCGGAACATTTGGGAAAAGGAGTTTTCGGGTTAACTCCAATTGTTCCCGTCCAATTAGCACAAATCTTTCATAATTCCATATTAGTCCCTCACAAGTTTGAAATTACTCACAAGTCCCTCAATCCCCTAAAAGATAAAGGGAAAATTACTTCTAGGCCCCAAAATCCAACTTTCAATGTGCTCCAGCCCCCCATATTTTTTAAATGTATTGTAGCCCTTTGTTTTTGAAAAAATTGTGTCCAAGCCTCTCCATCATGATTCCAGCTCATGCCAACAGATGATTAGACATACCAGCTCATGATACACATGCCAGCTTGCTTAAATCCTAATTTTACCCTCCTCTTTCTCATGCCAGCGGATGTTAACTTTTAGGATTAACATGTTAACTCTTAGGGTTAACATGTTAACTATTAAGAGTTAACATGTTAATATAATAACCATGATCGCCGCCGGCCACGCGAAGTTCCTCGGGACGGCATTGGCGGCGAAG